CGCGCATGAACCGTTTGAAGCACCAGCGACGAGTGCTCGTCGTAGTGTTCGTACTTTGGTCGTTCAATATCGGAATCCAGTGTATCTTCCACTGCAAGGGGATGCAGACGATATCGCACCGCCAACCTCCGCATCATAAGCGGGTCCGTTCCCTCTACGTTGATCCATCGGACACTCGCCCAGTTCGGTCGTTTCGAGTACATGAACTTCTCCACCCCTTCAATTGGATACGCACTTCTGATGCGATCAGGCGAGTACTCAATCGATCCCAGTCTAGCAACTGGGACATTGGAGCCGTACATTTTAGCATACTCTCGATTCAAAGCCTCCACAAAGTCCGGACTAAAGAGCTGCGCCAGTTTAATCTCCTGGATCGCATACAGAAATTCTTCGTATGTGATCCCGCCGCTCTTATCGTCGTCTACCTGGCCGATAAAGGCCTTGAACTCGTCCTCATTCTCGCACGAAATCCCCATCGCTTGTAAACCCCGCCGAAACCCGTCATACGACACCATCCCGTGTTCTTAAGCATGACCAAAAATAAAAAAATTAGTAGTTAGCTTATTAAAATTTATATCACTGCAGCTCACCATTGGGCTGGAAGAGCGAGAAGAGCTTGGTGAGCTTGGCCGTGGTGAGGTCGTAGTGCGGGTCCATGAGGTCCCATTGATCCGTCTCCTCGGCGACCCCAGGACCTTCAGACCAGTCCAAAGGGTGCGAGTCTCTCGCTCTTGACACGAGACTTAGCAGGTCCTTCCCGTGCAGCGTCGGCAACTCTGGGGTCGGTTTGTCGGTTGTTAATGAGGTGAGGGAGCGACATACAAGGCGGTTCTGGTGGGAAAAGGAGCTGGAAAACACGCGGTGATTGCTGTAGCTTAACCGAGACTTGAGAGGAGGGTGAGGAATGAGAGGGAAGTGCACACTACGGCGCAGGCACGCCAACATGGTGCGCTCGGATTGCGAATGGGTAAGGTGCAACATCGCTGTCAGATATGTGATTAGACAGGGTATGCACGGGAAGAGGATATGACTAAGTTGCGTGAGATATTTGTGTCGAAGCTGAAGCTATTATGTTGCGAATGCGCAACATGACAAGGAAGGCCGACTTCTTCTCAAAATGTCGATAAATTAAATCGACTCTAAAATTTGAGAATTAGTCGGACTTATCAGAATCTGAAATACGTATTATTACTAAATGTAACAACCGCGCTCTTCCTCGCGGCGCCTCTCCTTGGATTTCCAGCGACATACGTGAACCAGTTGCATCGCCCTCTGTTCAGCATGGAAGAACTGGCTGTAGGCATTCAATGAATTGTCGACGACAGGCTAATAGCTTTGTAGCCTAAAGCTCGGAGCGGCAGGCAGCCAGCCAGACTGTCCTACGGTGCAGAAGACACGCCCACGCAGAGACTCGAAATACTTTGGGCAGCTTTTGACGGACTACAGAGCAGAAGATCAAAGAATGCGTTGCACCATTACTTGCAACGCTAGACAAAGCAGAAGGGCAAAGAATAAAGAGATGTGCTTCAACTTTGCAACAGTGGCCGCATATGGCTAGTACATTGAATCCGTGCGTGCCTAAGTTGGCTACTGTAGGATGCGTGATGCCTAAGTTCCGGATTAGAACCCGGCCGGCCGACGCATGTCGGACATGCTCGCCCCGACACAACGCCCGTTGAAAACTGGAGGACTGTGGCGTAAGTCAGCAAGCTGGTGACGTTCGAGCAGTATGGTTTGCCGAGCAATTTGTTTGTAGGACATCTTGCTCGC